CGCCAGTGACGTCAACGGAGATGGAACCGCCGTCGTTCTGCTCACGGGGGTCATCAACTCATGAGCCCTGTCCACAACGCTTTCTTGCCCTGCCCGCGGCTCATGAGTTCCTCACTCAGTTGCACATAGGTCTGTTTGATAGAATGCATTATCCCGCTTTTCCAATTCTTCAAAAGGAACCACGCCCACTTTTACATTGCTTCTTATGCAGATTTCTAGAGCACACCCCATATTTCTCACCGCCACATAGGTCTGTTTGGTAGAAATACGTCCAATTAGTCTGCTTGAAGTATTTTATAATTTTTCTTCCAAATCAAAGCATTTGGACAGTATTTAGCGAAACGAGCGCTCTGCTCGTGATTTTCATTCATTATAATTGGACTGCATTTTGCAATTTGGACCTATAAATTCTGGCCCGGTTTAAAAACAACGTATGTGCCATTAGTTTCCCTCTGCACGTAAGTGTTTTTTCAGATGAGCCAGCATTTATAGTTCCAAAATGCAAAATGCAGTCCAATTGAGGAGACCGCACCAAGAACAGCCTATTACTTGGAAGCGCGTTTTGAGAAAAACGCATTTAAAGTTTTGTTTTTGATGTACGGCGCGGACTTTTCTAGGCAGATACCCTGTTTTCGTGTTTTTGGGTGACCTAACCCTCCCATTGAAGGATGCCGGGTAGATTTTGCGATACATTTTGGGTTTACACTATAACATATTCAATTTCAAAACGCGGTTTTTAGGTCATTATTTAGCCCAACAGTCATTTTGGTGGCAATATGAAGTATAAATCATTTTGATCAGGCATGATTAACGCAAAATGAAAGGATATCGATAGTGAGTAAAGAAAGGGGTAACTAGCACCTTATAGGCCCGCTTATAGGTCGTTCTTGCACCAATCGATCCAGTGGATTGACATAACTCGGAAAAAAAGTTTTTTCGACCTCGAGCCGTTACCTATCTATATTCTATCACTACCACAGCATAGTCCAGGGTACGTAGAATCCGAGAAGCAGATGGGCTTAATAACGACCTATATGCCTATAGGCTGTTCTTGGTGCGGTGTCCTAAATTGCAATCTTCCGTCGCATTCCTAAGGCGCTATGATACAACTATTTGAACTCTCCGGAATGCGTGAGGTATCACGCCTCATTGGAAGGCGTTTTCAAAACAGCCAAGATCCGATATCCGGATTATCATTTTGCAAAGTTCCTATTATTATGTTTTATTCCTACCATTTGTTTGTTTTCAATCATCCTATAAAAACTACTCATTTGCTGAATACACTTCTCGCTGAGGCGCACTTTAGCTATGCATTCACCACTGCAAAAATGTAAAAGGAAATCGAAAAAGCCAGCGTGTAAAAGGCTATTTCAATTGTAATCTTCCGTCACATTTCTAAGGCGCAATGATACAACTATTCGAACTCTCCGGAATGCGTGAGGTATCACGCCTTATTTGAAGGCGTTTTCAAAACAGCCAAGATCCGATACCCGGATTATCGTTTTGCATCGTTCATATTCTTTTGTTTTCATTTCTAACCACTTTATTTTTAATCCTCGTATAAAAAGCACCCATTTGCTAAATACAATTCTAGCTGGAGCGCACTTCAGCTATGCATTCACCACTGAAAAGTGTCAAAGGAAATCGACAAGCCCAGAGTGCATGGAGGCTATTTCCATTTTGATCTTCCGTCGCATTTCTGAGGCGCAATGATACACTATTTGAACTCTCCGGAATGCGTGAGGTATCACGCCTTATTTGAAGGCGTTTTCAAAACAGGCAAGTTCCGATTCCCGGATTATCGTTTTGCATAGATCGTATTCTTTTGTTTCCATTTCTAACCGCTTGTTTATTTTTAATCATTGTATAAAAACCACCCATTTGCTTAATACAATTCTAGCTGGAGCGCACTTCAGCTGTGCATTCACCACTGCAAAAATGTAAAAGGAAATCGAAAAAGCCAGCGTGTAAATAAAGGCTATTTCGATTGTAATCTTCCATCACATTTCTAAGGCGCAATGATACAACTATTCGAACTCTCCGGAATGCGTGAGGTATCACGCCTTATTTGAAGGCGTTTTCAAAACAGCCAAGATCCGATACCCTGGAGTGTCCACCGTGATTTGCAGTGTACCTACACCGTTCACCCGCAAGATTTTTCTCGCAGGATCGTGAATATTCTGCAGCCCTGAATTGTAGTTCTTATTTGCAAAAAGTGGTCCAATTTACCTATGATGGAGTCAGGCAAAAACCTAAGTAACAAAGCGTAAAATGGACGTATTCCTGCCAAACGGAACTATGTGCATTAAGACATGAGCCCTGCGACCCATCAGAATACATGCGTAACAGGGTTCACGTAATAATGCACATAGTTCCGCTTGGCAGAAATACGGTCAAATTGTACTCTATAAATTCTATAATATGAAATCGTTAGAGTAACGCAAAAAGTAGAACGCCTGAGGCTTGGGGTTGGATCGCAGAGTGGTCAGGGGCCGTGCGGCTAGTATGGAGAGAATTCTGCAATTTTACTACATTAAAGTGCAATTTTTTTCCTTGAAATCGCAATTTTTTTGCATCATGTGGTCAATCTGTCAATTTTAAATGAACGATAAAATGAGTACTGGGTAGAATAAATGTAGGCGATTTTCAATGCAAAGAAATTAAAATTCATTATTCCATAAAATTGAAATTAATTTTAAATGAACGATAAAATGAGTTATAGGTAGAATAAATGTAGGCGATTTGCGATACAGAGCAAATTGGAATTCATTTCAATTGTATTGAAAAAATTGTAGATTATTGAGCAAAAATTATACAAGTATCTATAGAATTTATTCGATAAAAATTGCATGGCAATGAATTCCTAATTTCGTAACTTAATTCTCTGCATTTGAACATTATGTACTCGTAAATGGATTGTCCAGTCATCGCCTCACACGTCTGTACAGGGTTGCCACTTTGTTTGGGGACTCTGAAACTGAAAAAAACGGCAACCCTGCTGGTGTATTTGTTCCCTATCTTTGCATGGATATTTTGACTAGGATATAATATATGTGTACTTTCAGGGTAGCGTGGGATATCCCCTCCATTACAGCCTCAACTTTGAGAGCTTTTTTTGAACTTTGGAGTTAATTTCATAGGAAAGCAGTGGCACCATCGGTGTTTCTAGAGAAATTTTAAGTAGGTGAAAGTACTAAAATCGCAAAACGCTCACACATGCAAGAGCTCCATTGGCAGCCTCTACTTGGAGATACATCGGTGGAAACAGATTGAGGAGTAAAATTTGTTTTGCAAAATGCCAGGTTCAGGAAACTTTCCGAAAGCTGCTTGTGGGAAAAAATGAGATGGCTTCAAAAATTGGGCGGACCAGCTCGCTGCTTATTTGGCGTCAATATCGCGTTTTTTTCTCTTTTTTTTCGAAAATCGTAGTGAGATTCGAGTGTTTCCATAGAATCGCGAAAAAGTTCGCGAGTTTTTCAGGGCCGCGGCAATTCGTGAGTGACGAGCAAAGAGAAACAGTCATGGTCGAAATTTTAGAAGGGTTTTTAAAATGAGAAGGCCGGTTTAAAAAATGGAAGATCTCCCTGCACCCTTGGCAAATTGCAAACCCCCCTCCATCACTGTATTAAAATAGCGGCCTGGCAAGGTTTTGTAAAATTTCCTTCTTTCATTCTGTCTCTATTATTTAGCAAAGTGCTTCCAGGTACCAAATTAAAGAGTGTGGAAGGGAGGCTTTTCAAGTTCAAAAACAATATTCCCTTTAAAAGATGCTAATTCCTGTCAAACGAAAAACAAACAATAACTGCCAAACTTAATTTGGCTGAACGATGAATAAAAGCCAGCTCTATCTAATTTACTCCATTCCAGCTTAGAGTGAAAAAAAAGACAAAACGGTTACGTACATTTCATGTAGAAAAAAAAAAACTTTCCTTGCATACTTTGCGAGCATTAAATAGGTGTTACTGGTTCTAACCAGTTTAAATCTGGTTCAGCTTAATTGGATTTAACATTGCTTAATTTCCTCAAGGCTTTATTTTTCCATTAGAGAGCCAATCGAAGTAGCGAGCCTTAAGACCTTCTGCACATTTCCCTAGTTTATAAAGAAATTAATATACTCACTAAAGTATAAGTTAGGATGATTATTATTTTCTGTTGAAAGAATAAAACCTAAAGAGAATAAGAAAAAGCTTCATGTAGTTAAGCTAATATCTGTTCCGTCAAGTTACATACATTTCAAAAGGAAACAAGTTGTTAATTGCAACACTAATATTAGCGTGTCCGGGAGAGGAGTTTTGGTATTTTAATTTATTTTCACTAATGCAATGTAGGGCTGTTCAATCGGTTGTCGGTAAGCTACCAAAACAGTTCCGTTAAGAAAAAGTAACGATAAGAGCGCTCTTGCCGATAGCGATCAGAGTTTTCGGAGCTGGCGAAAATAAGCTGTTGCCATGAGTACATCTATATCATGCGCCGCCGCGCTAGGCAATCTGATAAACCGACACAAGGGGCAACAATACATTGAGTGCGAGCTCTCAAAAATCCGATAAGGCTGGCTGTTGTTGATATCATCGCCACTGTCGGTTTTGCCGCCAGTTTCAATAAGAGACGATATCGAAAGAGTTCCGGCAAGAATTCGTTTGAACACCCCTAATGCAATGAATCAACACTTAAAAATCACATATATATACAATTAATTATGGAAATAATTGTATATATATAAATTGTACAAATATAAATATGTAAGGCATGCTAAAATGATTTAGGTGAGAATTTTAAGTAGTTTAAAAAAGGAAAAAAAAATCTTCACAAATCTTAACAATCTTTACACATCTGAGTGTTTATTCTTATAATAAAATCTGGTTGGATACAGTCTTCACTGACTGATTTTTTCCAACATGTATTCATATAAATCTCTTAAAGTGGTAAAAACTTAACTTCTAAAACTATAAAAATAGTATAAAACTTATGAAATTAATAATAATGTTTAAAATAGAGAATTCTTCGGTAATTGATAATATTGGTTTCCCTGAGATTTTGAAAGCATGTTTACAGGTCCATCAATGAACAATAGAATATTAGAATATTACAGAGCGTATTGTACCTAGAGTTAGTATCAGAATATTAAAATAGCATTTCTCAGAATGTACCAGTCTTTTATCTTCTATCAATTGGAAGGCATAAACCAAAAACAGCTTGACTACATTTTACGTTCCCCAATTTTCTCTCAGATTTTCATTTTTGGAATCAAACAACATAACATTTTGAAACTTTCAATGAATTTCCCCTACACTATAGCAAATATGATGCCATATATGTATAAACAATGGAAATTGGCGACCGCCATTTCTAGAGATGACGCTTCTTTAAGATCTGAAAACTTCCAAGAGTGTTGATACTAAATTTCAGACTTTTTGTATAATTTTCTATTGAAATATGAATAAAAATCAATGTTTTATATAAAAACAGCGGATGTCAGAACTCGCTGAGGCTAATTAATCTTTTTGGGAATCACGTATACATATGAAATGAGCACATTATGCAGGTAATTAAAGCCTTGTCTCAATGGGTGGTTCCCAGGAGATTTGTGGCTGTCAAAAATCTCACTCATGAAGTGGCAAAAAATTTCAAGTTACTCAATACTGACCACCGTTCAACTTCCGAGAGGAAATACTGAGAAAGAGGAAGAAGTGAAAGAAAAACGCGTCATATTTTGTTGTTTACTTCATTGCTGATGTTCATTAAATTAAAATTAAATAATTTATGTAATAGAATAATTGTTGATGAGTGCTTAATAACGTCCTTAATATTCTTGTAACGATGCTGCCGGGGCAGCACAGGGAAAGCACGCAAAGAAAATCAGAATACACGGATATATGGATGATAGGGAGACTCGCCGACCGGCCCGAACACAAATGAAGAAGACATGACTAAAGAAATCACCCCAAAAGGGTAATTTCCCCCTAAGAAAACTCACATTTGGAGTGACGAAGACTTGTACGCACCTGCTTAAACGACAAGGACCGAAGTGAAGTAAGATGGCGTCTTCGCATAACCGTCCCTCTCTCTATCTGGTGTCCGCCTCTCCCATTGGTGGATCAAGTCATGTGACTGGATCCGCCAATAGGAGTACAGACACCAGACAGAGACAGGGAGGGAAATGCAAATATCAAAGAATACATATTTATATGTCACATTCTAAATAAATCTTTAATCAGTGTTTAATAATTTTGTTGTTGTTTTAATAATTTATGTAGTCAATTGTGTTCAATCATTAACTTGATTTCGTTTAAACACTCAATTTATAATGATTCATCTTCCGGTTCAAACTTGTTGGAAAAACGTTCGAGTCCCACCCTGTTTGGACAGGAAAGGCAAAATATCGCCGAAATTCCTACTGTGGAACAAATCTCCTGAAAATTCCCCATGAAGACAAGGCCTTCATGAGAATGAATAAGACCTACTGTATCTTCTTACATTTTACCATTGAAAGATGACATCTTCATTATTTCCTATTTTAAAAGAATCATTATAAAATTTGTTCCTTATTTTTTATTTAGAAGTTACAAAATGTTTATTTTTTTTTTTTTTTTTTGAAACATCATTAAAGAATTCACCAAGGATAATCCTTTGATTCATTTGAATTAATATACTTCTTTTAGATTGGTTTAGTGGTTTATATTATACGTAAAAAAAGTTCTCTCTATAAACGGCAGATGTCGTCTTTTTTTAAAATTAATGTACGTACCTCAAATGATATTTGGTGAAAATATTTTAAAGTCTTTTTTTAATTTAAAATTAAATTTAAGTCTTAAAGCTCATTTATTAAAAAAAGACTTGCTCTAGGATAAATTCCTTCACCAAAACATGATTTGCTTTACGGACATCAAAATGCTTAGCACTGAACATTTTGAACAAGATTTTCTCAACATACGCTGTTTAAAGATACATGGTTTCATATACTTAAGGAATTTCAAGTCAAAAAAATGCTTGGTTTTGTTATTAAAAAAAGTGAAACATGTGAGATTATTATGATATAAAGTTGATTTTGATTTGGACTGCATTTTGAAATTTGGAACTATAAATTCTGGCTCTTCTAGAAAAACACTTATATGCTTAGGGAAACTATTGGCACATACATTGTTTTTAAACCGGGCTAGAATCTATATGTCCAAATTGCAAAATGTAGTCCATTTAATCTGTCTAGTTGATAGGGAAAGACAGCAGGGATAATTTTCTCATTTGTGATGTATGCGTAAAAGAAGGATAAAAATAACTAGAAGACACTATAGCTATAGGAGAGAGGGGACAAGAAAATGTTAATACTACAGAACGTGGCAAAGAAAATGAGTGATTGAAATAAAATTGCAAAAGTAAATTGAGAAAAAGTTTCATGGATTCTGAAATAGGAAAAATATGGTGTAAACAACAGAGGGTAGTGTTACTGAGAGATCCTGGATATGTCTCCATGAGTAATGCGTTTAGTAAAATGGGTCCAAAATATGCCTTAGTTCTGGTTTAGTCGAAAGGTGAAGTCTCCACGTAAGGGAAATGGATTGAGGATTGGTGTTAGTTGGACTTGGTTTTCCTTTTGGAAATCACACGTGGGCACGAATGCCCTTAAACGGATGATAATCAACGACTCATTATCAATTCCATAATCTAAAAGTGGACAAGACTCGATCAGTTCGATATTTTCATGATACCACGAAATGTAAGGCCTCGGGGACATGAGACTAGCGCCTGCCCCGTATTCCAGTTTCGTCGATATAATAGGATATAATTCTGCAACCGTGTCCAATAATTTTGCTTCTGTACGGAAAATTTTCTGTGTTGGTTCATAGAAGACTAAAAGTTGGATTCTGAAAACCACCAAAAAGAAAACAAAATTTAAAGACTTCTCAAGTAGCATTTGGTAACTGAAATGTAGCATTATATTCCGATAATATTGCAAAATTATGTCAATATTATAGAATTTTTTTGATAAGAGAGGCAAAAGAAGTTTGTCTACATTCGGAAGTTTAAAAAAGAAACATGGCATTAAAATTTAGAATAAGTTAAGACTGAATTAAAAACTGATAGCAATTCAAAGAACGTTTCATCCCCGACAAAGGGCCGTATTTGTAGTTATTCATTAAAAGGCTCCTTAGAAAGCCCCATACGGTTTACATTGTAATTTAAGGCGGTTTGAGGAGATCCTTTGCAAAATATCATCAAACGGACAATAGGTCCGTTGCACGTAAGAAATACATCCAAATAAATAAATTATATACATAAAATCGCACAAAAATCGTGTTAGGCATGTTAAAAAAGTCTGAAATCCATCCTTTGCCCGCAATCTGTTTAGTATGTAACTTGCTTTTCCAAGTTTCCTCCGTCTGTGGGCAGTTTTCTCTGTCACCGCCGACCAGGTTTGCACAGCAGAAAGACTAGTATGAGTAAACAAACGATTTCACTGACGTTTTATATTGTATGATTTCAATCAGTTTCGAGCATTTGTTTCCTTTTTCTTTCATTATTTTGCAAAAAAAAAAAAGCGTTGAAATCTTACGCAAGGAGTGTTTATGACAGTTCACAAGATTGTTTGTTTACTTAGGTTAGGTCCCTAACTCCGAGCAAACCAGACTGGCGGGCACCACAAAAAACTGCCCGCTTTCACAGTAAATTGGAAAAAGCATGTTGCAAATTATGCAAATTGCGCGCTGAGGAGTGGATTCCAGACTTTCTTGATAAGACCGACGGAAGTTTTGAGCTAATTTACCCTTGGAAAATATGTTCAGTTAGCTGTATCTCTTCCGTGCAACAGACCCATTTCAACGAATCTCAGGTGAAATTCAGCGGTGTAACTATGGAAACAGATCCTTCAGGGAATAGCAAGATTCTGCTTCAACAAAAAATTAAAATTACAAAAAAAAAGGTAGTGCTGCCAATTTGGCTACCTTAAAGTTTTTCAAAATCATAGAATTTTTTTTTCCTGTTCTTGATATTTTACTGAGGCAAACTCTTCTTATCCACATTAAGGATCTATTTTCGAAGTTAAACTACTAAATTTCACTTGAGATTCGCTAAAATTGTCCTGTTTATGATGCTTTGTGAAGGATCTCCTCAAAGCTCCTTTAATCACAAAGTAAACTTTTTTTAATGTAAACTAATTTTATTATTAAGTTATTAATTAATATTCTCAATGTGAGAAAGAGCTCATCAGAACAGACATTTTCTTTCAGAAAAAAGATGAATAATGAGAATATCAGTTTTACACTGAAATTAAGTGCAAATCATGAACACCCAGACTAAACTGATTTCGTGGCTAAGTCACTGGCCAATATGTACTAATTTATTTCCTTATAGTGCCAAATGTGTTATTATTCTTGATAAATTTAGTCTATGCTTCTATGGATAATTTCTTTTAAGTTGAAAATTAAGTGTTAGAATTAATTTTAAGTCGTTGAATATTCCATGGTTTTTCTTCTCTGTGGGAGGCAAATCCTGGAAAAACTCCAAGGAGTGATGTAGATTTGTTCCTCAAAAAAATAAAATGGGAGTGGAGATTTTAAACACTGCAACTGAGATGCATAGTTTGGGAGTTTCACCATCCAAATTTATTCAAGATCATTTTAGGGTTTCCATAATTTCTTCAGTTTCTGAATGCTTGAATTTTCCTGGACTTCCCTTTCCTTTCCCTTGACTCCAAAATTCCCTGATTAACTAAATTTTCAGGGCTTTTACCTGTCTTTCCATTACCTACTTTCAATCAAAATCTATATTTTTTCTCTTGATTGCACTGACTTTTGCCAAAGTATGGACAAAATCATCTTTTCGAGATATTCAAATTGAAGAAATAGGCACTCTGAAGTTGTTTAAGCTCTCTCAGAAGGCACCGTCTGAAGTTGCTGAGCTTACGCACTACTCGCAAAAATCCCTGACTTTTCCAGGTCCCCGTAAATTCCCTGATCTCCCCTATTTTCCAGACAGCTTGCAACCCTATCATTCACTGTTTGATTTTGGCATCTTTAATACTTGAGTTTGACACTGTAGGTACTTCCATTTTCATAGTTTTTTATGCTTTGCATGAGAAGTGAAGAAATATGGAAACAACAAGTTATGAACACATACTTACGATTTTGGAAAGCGAGGGACTGGTCTGAGGTTTTCAGGTCTTGGCTTGGAGTTCAAGTATACATAAATGGATAGTTCCTCTTCTGTAGAAAGGATGCCTGAGGCAGAAACAACCTCTGTAAATTCCTTTGGAGACATCAGTCTGAACCGAATTAATGAGGGGGCTTGTTTCAAGACAGACTTCATATTCTCAATGCTCGCATCCAAGTCTTGTCTCAGGCATTCAACTTTCGCCCACCTGTAAACAGTTTAAGAAAGGTTTCAAACAACTGGAAAAAACTGTGATGCAGCCAGACAAAGGGCCATTACAAGCGAAACCCAAACTGTCTAAATAGTCTATAAAGCCTTTTGGGATCTTGTTTAAATTTAATCTGTTTGCCTCAAACTTGCGATTCATCAAAGTTAAGATAATGATCTGTAGGTATTAATTGGGCTAACGAAATGGAATATTGATTACTATATGCCAAAAATTCTATCTCATTTTTAATGTTTGAAGATATCAGATTATGTTTCATTTTCTTTAAGGAGACTTATCAAAATGTTTCCTTGCAATGGACTACTAGACAAGGTACGAATTTAAGCATTCTGATACATGTATCTTAACCAGAATTTCACGTACAACACGATTCGCGCAACGAAAATTACTGAAACCAACTCTTAACGAAGCTATTAACATTTTTATTTCACATTGGTTACGAGGAATTTGAACTGCCCGCTCACAAGAAACTCAAAACTCTACGTGAGTCAAATCGCGCACTACAACGGTTTCAGCGATCTTCTCAATCGAGCAATGTTCATTTCCCACCATGTGTTTTTCAAACTATAAGTAATTTGCTACAGCTGAGCCACAGTGTCAAGATTGAGGTTGCCAGATTTTTTTATCGCAGAGACGTTCATGATAACGTTTAGCGAGCGATGTGAATCACGTAGAGCATTGAATTTTCATGAGCGGGTGGTTTGAATTCACGCATCAAGAATCATTAATATCTTTGGAAGGAGTTGATTTCGATAATATTCGTTGTGCGCATCGTGTTTTACGTGAAATTTTCGTGAAGAAACATGTATCAGAATGCTGAAATTCGTACCTTGTCTAGTGGTCCATTGAGCGTGATCTATTTTTTTTTTTTTTGTTTTTGAATGAGTGAAATCATATTCTAGCTATTTCTATAGACGCTATTAGTGCAACGTCACAGAAAAGCGATATCTATCGATTTTTTCGCATTGGTAGCATTGAAAGAGGTTATGTCAATGTTATTGTTTGGATCCAATTCGATATAATGGAGAATCTCTATGATGACGTCGCCACTAATAGCGTCTATAGAGTGAGTTGTTTTTAGTAACATATTTTAACCGAGATTTATCTAGATTTTTTTCACGAATGGGAAGTTTTAATGGACTAATTATGACCTTGAAGTGTAAAACCTGCTAACTTTCTTAGAACTTTTATCTCAACTGTGCGAAATTGTTGTTTGAAGCACTTTGTTTCAGCTCTAGTCTCTGCAGCAAACGTTGACATGGGCCTAAAAATGGTCTTGTAGACCCTGATATATTATTCTTTGCAAGGAAAACTGATCAAAATTTTCCCTTGAACTTTTCTGTGATTTTTTTAGAGTGAGTTATGATAGTTCACTGAAAATGTTTGTGAAAACTGTAAATTAGTTTTCTGTCAAAATCATGAAACATGAGTGGAGATTTACAATGTCTCAAACTGAGATATGCATTTTTGACGTTAACCATCAATATGTTTCAAAGAAATTTGAACCTTTCCTTGACTCTGTTACAAGCAATGACTTGAACGAACAGATTTCATTAACAAACCTCCTTGTAAAATTTCTTATGATGAAAACTGTGTAAGTTAAAATTAAATAAAAGGTATCAAGGTCACAAACCCAAGAAGCGCTTGGAATAAAGAGACCTCTTCGATTTTGAGATGCTTCATTTCCAAGATGAAACAAATAGTTTCGATGTCAAGGTCGAGAAAACACTCTTTGTGACTCAGCGTGTGTGTATCATCAGATTTTGAGCAAAGAGAAATTGCACTGGTTGCCTCTTCGGCTAACATTTGGGAGCATGCATCTATGAGTTCTGTCTCTCCCAAAAATTTCGCCTGGGGAAAAAAAAAGACAAGAAATCTAAAAAAAAAGTTGCGAAGAATATTGGGCAAGTCATTAAATTCCTGATAGATACTTGAATGATGCTGATCGATCTGATGCTTCATTAGTAAGTACACAATTATTACACTTAATCTGACATGAGCCTGAGAGATAGGACTGTGAACAGTCCTTCGGAGAAACCACAGTCTGCATTCATTTCATCCCCTTAAATTGAAAAATCTTATCACTTAAATTTCGAAGCAATTTAAGTGAATAGATTTCGAATATTTGCAATTCGAATATTTTGAAGCAAAATACTACATGCAGTTTTTGTGAAAAATTAGCAGCCTACATAATTACATTTTCACAAACAGCGCTTTTGCAAGCACCGAATTGCCTTGAAAATAAGAATTCCTAATGTAAATTCTAGCGAAAACGCATCCCCAAGCTTAAAAGGCTCAAACCAGTTATTTTGGATGATTTGAGAGGCTTAAAATAAATGTTATAAAAAGAACGTTTTTCCTTGGCCAGCAGCTAAGGATGCAACATGGCTGCCATGCGATTAAAACCACGAACAAACAATTTCATCTAAAAAAATATAGCCTCAAATTTTCACTTCAAACAGCGATAATATTGCGAGCGTGGTCCAGATGCAAGTCCTCTCGTTACAACTGCAACCTAAGATTAAATGAACAAACAAGAATGAAATGTTACAAGGCTACAATTTCTTCTTGTAACGTAAAAAAATTCTATAGCTGAATATTATTCTGTTCGAAACTAGGTTCAACTTTTGGCAAATTCGAAAATCCTTTCCTCAGCTAATTTGATTCAATGAAAAATAAGGAAATGTAGGCAACTCATTCTTTAACATAGGTTCTTTTTGTAAATGAATTTAAAAAAATTGTGCAATAGCCTCATTGAATGTCTTGATTTGAGAAGTGCTCAACATAGAAACTATTTAAGTTCCAGAAAATGAAAGAACCTAATTCAGTCAATAAATTTAAGTAAATGGAGAATTTTCTTGGTACATGTTATCCAGTCCCTGTGAGGAGTCTTTCAACCAAACTTTATGAACTTGTGGTTCATGGTAAAAAATGTGTAAAATTCTGGATGTAGGTGTAATACGTTGCAGGCAAATAGTGAAAACAGGCTTTTCATCAAATACCTGGGCAGATGGTCAAATTTTGAAAGTTTACAAAGTTCGCATGTTTTTACAAACAGCTCCCGAATTTTCAATATTTTGAAAGTAAAAATTCATCAAACTACAAGCTGTCACTGTATTTTCTGTTTCAAAACGCTCCTATTCACTTTTAGCCATCAAAATTATATAAACTCTGTATTTGAAAAAGTTATGAATATTTCAAAATAGATGTTCCTTTCTGGGCTACTGCAACCATAAACTGACGCAAATTTGTAACAATACTTCCTGTCTATGAAGACAAATAATTACTTTGTCCAAAATCAGCGGAAAAATCAGAATTTTAATCTGAGAGAGAATATTTGACACAAATTTTCAGGCATTTGACCAAATGCCTGGTTTGGTTATTAGCCTGCAGCATATACAACAACTTGATTAATAATACTGATTCATATTTCAATTAAAAATACAGCACTGTCGATTCCCTTACCTTCATTAATCGAAAACAAACATTTGCACTAGACAGACTATTTTTGAGGAAATCGATACACTTATTCTTCAATGCTTCTACATCATATTTTATCGCTGCATATAAAATAGGCCAAGCATCGCAGCGAAGTTCAGCTTTTTCACAGTAAATGAATCTGCAACAAACAAAAACACTACGATGTTATAATTTTGCACTGCACAAAGTTAATTAAAAAATTGAAACTGTGAATTAGTAGCCACTTGCTTTTTTTAGGGCCACCACAGAATTTAGAAAATAAAATTCCTTGACACAGTTTGGTAAAATTTCCTGCCAGTTGAGGATATGCGATAATTTATGCCATAATTTAAAATAATTTTCAGGCAAACTTTGTTTTTCAAAACATCAAACCCATTCTAGAGAGCAAATACAGGAAACAACAATTTTTCCTGGACACTTTCATAATTTTTCCTGACATTTCTGGGACCTTTCCTTGACTCTTGGAAATTTCTCAACATTTCCCGGTACTCCCTGACCAAGGCAACCTTGTGGAAACTAATTACGGCGGTGCAAAAAATTCTTCAGAGCAGGGGCAAGGCAAGCTTTGTAATGAGTTGATTAATTTGTCATTTGAACCTATGAAAAAGGATCGATTATCAGGGTGTTCACAATGAACACCTGAAGTAAAAACCGATCCTTTTTCATAGCTTTTATATAGAATTCACTTGATTTATGTTTTACGACTGCTTCAAAGTAAAAACTATACGCAGTCTCTGCCTCAAAATTTCTTCATTCTTAGGAAATTTCTTCACTCTGCAAAACAGTCGAGAGTACTTGTTCAGTGAAAACATTTCAGAAATAAGCACACTGCTTCATTACATCTATCATTTTTCATTAAAGAAAGAAGAAACTAACATTTTTATAGAGCAATTTTCTTGGTGTACCTAGGTGTACCAGAGGTAGGTGTATTTTTATAAACTAGTTAAATTTGAATAATTATCATATCTGGATTAATAGAAAGCGAAACTATTGGAATAATGTGTATTATAAAAATATTAGTATTTTTTTAGTTTAAATTTCCAATTTTCATATTTGATTTTTTTAAAATTCTGTAATTTGGAATATATAATATAAAGATCCTATACATCAAGCTTGTAAATATAAATACTATTAAAATAAAGAATTTGCATGCAAATTTTTTACAACTTCATCTGAAAGTGCTTAAAGAGCTGATTTCTCAATATTTTTTTTAATTTTTTTCTGAAATGGGAAATAGTATAAAAATAGATTTAAAAGTGAGAAAATGCACCGCCTGGTGACGTCATCCGGCAGCATTTCCCATTTAAACACATGTATTACGGCAGATTAGATCATTTTGTCATATTTTCTCCAATAATTGTTCAATTCATGAACGAAAAGTATCCACGTGTTCAGTTCACTCAGTACTTTTCACTTAAACGCCAAATTCATCAAATTTCAGACACCTGCAAATTCTCTGTTATTACAATAGGATTGCATTTTGCAAAAAGGAACCACTAGCATTGCAATGTTGCTAAGATTGTGCAACTTCTTTTGTCTTGGAGGGAAACCCGATTATCCATTAAAAGCTTCTATTTTACTCGCTAAAAACTGTAAATTTAAGACAAAAATTACCATCTAAATTTCATAGTTTTTCACGATTTCCGTAATTTTATTGCAAAAGATGAAGTTGCACAATCTTAGCATCATTGCAATGCGAGTGGTTCCTTTTTGCAAAATGCAATCCAATAGTATGTGATCATTTCATTATTAATTTAAATGAAAAAAAAATATCAATTTCACGTTCTTAATTTCTTGAGAGGAAAAAGGTGAACAAAAAAAATGACAAGAAAAAGTATGTATTTACCTGAGCAGTTCATAGAAAGCATCTGGCTTTACATCAGGTATCTCAATTTCGCTTTCATCAGATGACCACCGTTCACTTAGCATGGTTGCAAAAACTGGGCTCCCGACTGAAAGGATGCTCTTGATTGCTTGGAATCTCTTTTTTTCTTCACCAACAATGAAACATACATCTGTGAAAAGATTCTTCTTCAGAACATATTCATTCTTATCCACAAGACTCCTCTTACGCCAGTCTTCATTATTCTCGATTACGACTGATTCAGGAATCGCATCTGCCACCTCTTTATTTGTGTTATGTAGTAGTTTAGTTGCATCCTTTGTTTCACTCATTGGAGTATTTACTGTGAATATTGGAAACATTTTCTGTGAATGAAAAAAGATAAAAGATCAATGACATTTCATTCCTGATCACATTCTGTCAAACATAAGTAATACCTCCGCAACCTATGCACGAAGGCCTGAGACTTCGGAGTTCGAGACTTACAAGAAATCCGAAAATATGACCAACTTTAAAATAAGTTTGCGGTGGATTATTCCGCCAAGCTTAGGAGGAATGCTGTATGAGCTATCAGGCTTTGCCAAATTTCCTTAAAAAAATTAGGAATTTTCAGAAAAATGTGAATATTTCTCTTCTGATTTTTTAAAGGATTTTCATTGTAATTTGATCGGAAAAGTCTGAAAATTGAAAGGAAAAGTAGGCATATCTTTTATCAAACATAAATTTTTCTGAGAAGAAATTTGGCAACATTTAAATGATTATACAGCGTTTTTACTTAGCATCGCAGTACTCTGAAGATCTGAGGAATCATGTCGCACAAACATTGCAATGTGACAAGTATTCTTGAAAGTCGAGATTCCCTGACTTTTCAGGGTTGATACGATTCTCTGACTTTGCCATGGCTTTTCAATGTTTTTTTTTTTTGTGTACTTTTTCTTGAACTTTATTTCCACAAAAATATTCAGCATGAAGTTTCATGAAATTGAAAAAGTCTAAAATTTGAAGGCAGTATTTCTCAATTTCCTTGATAGTGTGTAAGGGCCATAGAAAACGCAGAGGCTAATAGAGGGTCTCAGTTCATATCTGAAGCCGACTTTCATTCTTTGAAAGAGGAGAAGTTCCACGACACATATTACAGAAAAAGCTGTATTTGGATTAATTAATCTAATTTTAGATACTTAAACAATGAGCACCCAGTTCTATCTGAAATATAATGGAGGAAAGCTGCACCTTAATTCTTTAACTTCAAGCCTTGTCTAACGATTCATTTCATATGGGCTCCTTAACTTATTTATAGAAATGAAAATTCAGCCTTCATAGTGTCCACACCTGACATATCAGGCAGAAGATCTGCCATCTTAATTCTTGCACCTACTTTCGATGCTATGAAAGCAGCTATGTAGGTACCTATTCTTCTGTCACACTCTACAACTGCGTAAAAACGTATTTGGCATGGACCCGAAAAGAATTAATTATCAGCCTTTCTATTCTATTATTGAGTCTAGAGTACAGAAGAGTGTTCTGCAAACCTTGCCAGACAACAACGTTGCAAATTGGCAAATGATGATCCGTTGCATTGACTCAGTGCGAGCACATACAGGTTCCAAGAGGAGGCTAAGAGAAGTACTTAGGAGGATTCAAATTTATTATTTAGTGCTTGACATACGATGTTAACATACCTGACAGCAGAGAGAAGAGTACTGAGGAGAAGATAACTGAGAAAACAACAAGATTGAATTGTGAAAGAGATGATTTTACTTCCACATGAAATAGTGTGTTCACTTGTTGATCACTCGCCGATGCCAGAAGTAGAAGTAAATAAGACATGAACCGGAAGTGAGGTTAAGTATTTGTTTACACTAGACAAAAAATTCGGTTACGTCTGCAGAGAAAAATTGCCCGTACTTACATGTTGCATTAATGATAATTTTCAAGACTTATGACATTAGAGATGAGTTGCAAGGAAAATTTAAAATTCAATGTGTAAATAGATTATTTTAGTGAGGACTTGCTAAAAAGATTAAAAATCTATGAAAGAGGTGAAACAGGTGAACAGTGCAATGGAGTTCATAAAGTGGCCCACTTGCAATTGAGCACTTCCGCGCGCGATTTTCAAATCTCCGAAAGTCAAGGCCGTCGTCCGTCCCCACCCCCCTCCCCACCACATCATCTCCAAAACCCATCTTAACTTAAATAAGACATGTTTTATTCTCTGGGTGCATACTTTCACAAGTATCGAAGACTTGAGAAAGCATTCAAATTGCTAAATGCAATGCAGAGTCTATTAAAACTCTAACAATGAAGCAGTCGAACAAATGAGGACCTTTTCGACCAAACAGCTTATACCCACATCTACGTCGCTAGGATTGTGCAACTTTTCCTCTTTTTTTTACGAGTATCCGAAATCAACCACTTTATAAATTTACACAGCCCAGCTTGCCGCATTCCTACCAACTGACAGTTCAATGTGAGCACGATCTTAGCAATGCTGACATGGATGTTAGCAGTTTAGTCGGAAAGGTCTTCAAATACACCGCATTTTGCAATAAGGAAGAGTGCTTTCTGGCTCAGTTTAGAAACAACGTATGTATCCTACACTGTCGTGCTAAGGAAGAACGCAGTATGAGCATTCAAGAGTTCCCAAATTTCCTTCGATATAATGTTTATTTTTTTAGGAAATTTATGAATATTTTTCCTTTAAATTTTCAGAATCTGTAGGTAAAATTGCGAACAAAATTATCTGAAAATTGGGAGGAAAATATTCATAAATTTACCAGGAAATTTGGCAACGCCTGAAGGTTCATACAGGGTTTTTCCTTATCACGGCAGTGCGCACATAAGCGTTTTTAAGGATGAGCCAGAAATTTTGGTCCCTGATTGCGAAATGAAGTCCAAATTTAATACCACACTCATGGATTTCAATGCACTCGGAACAAGTTGTTCTGATCAACATACTATTTGAAAATTCCTAGGAAATATTTTACAAGTTCTTAAATGGACGTATTTATGCTGAAAGGAACTATGTTACATGCAAATCCTATCCACATAGTTCCTTTTGGCATAAATATGTCCAAATATAATGTTTTATTACTATTAAGTGGTGACTTTTTTCCCCACTATTCAACCTGTTGAACTAAAAGATGAACTGTGTGATACTGACACAAAGACGCAACAGTTTGATGGAAAGTTTGACAGAAAATTACAGAAACATTTTTCGACCGACATTGGTCGAAGCTGTATCTTCGCGAACCAGAAGCTGACGAAAACACCCGAAATCCATTTAACAATATCACGCAGCAACAGCATCTGAATCAAATTTTGCTGCGTTCATTTTTACATTCAACTTTTTGTCCACTGTTGTCAGATGAATCGTTGAATAGTGTGAATTGGGCTTCAGAAGAATAAATAAAAACAGTTCTGTGATAACCTCGAAAGTTATTTAATTTTAAAACTTAATAAGTTATAAAATTTCAGTCTTACTTTAGCGTATGGTTAACGACTATTGGCTAGGTTGAAAGCGATCAATTACTATACAGAATTGAAATTCACTCATCAAAGACTTGAAGGACCATAAAAGGGTCATGATTTTTAAATACCTAATTAATTTTTACAAACAATTAAACAACTTGCAGTTATGACAATCAACACTCAAACGACATCTGAACAAAAAAATTCACGATTACAACATTCAATCAGTATTAAATACTCAACATAGGTGAAAATGATTTATATGCACACAACATTTTACTTCAATCAATAATATAAAAAGGATTGATGCCTTCAAAATTGTCGAATTTATGTCGAGAATGTAGACTTGAGCTTTTCATTTTCTTTCCAGCCTGTGTTGATTATCCCCTTCCCTAAAAATACTGAAGACATTTCCCACTGAAGTTAAAGACTCTTATCTGTGTTGCAACATGTCAGAATTTTGATGGATTTTACCATTTAGCGATGATTTGTATTCTCTATCGAAATAATTGTAATTTTGAAGTTCTTATTTCATGTTTTTCTCGCAGGCATTATTGATAAATAGACACACAGGCAGTATGAAAAACTAAGCACATTCTTTATGGTAGTTTTTTGCTTCACTTCCATCATTTGGTTATTAAGTACTGGAAAAATTTGCATAACCTTAATTTTTCTACAAATTTTCCTGATTTTCCAATGTTGGGGACTTTGAAAGGCCTGGATAAACTTGAGTACGTGCTTTTTTGTGACAATTTTTTGCGAGGCAATTTATGTTGACTGTTTTAGTAAGAAAAATCAAAATAAATGTAGCCGAATTGAATATTGCGTGGATACACTTGAGTACATGCTTTTTTGTGACAATTTTGCATTCTTACATTGTTGCTGAACGACTTTGGCCAATTGTAAGCGATGTTGATTTTTAGCATAAATTTTTAAAATGATTCTTAGCATGATTTTTGGAGAAGGTATCAAACTTTGAATTTAATAATTTTCCTACACATAATTTTCAGCTTCAATTGACAAAAATAGGCAATATATCCTTTTCTTTCAGTTTTTACAGATGCAGGCAGGTACATTTAAATCTTAAAACACAGAATTAGATGTTTGAAAGTTGAAAACGACAGCAAAAACAATTACATTAAAATAAATTTTACCAAAAATCGAGGTTCCCTCCTCATGATTTTCTTTAAAATTGATTCCAATTCTGAGCAAAAGAGAGAAATTAGATCTTCTCATAAAATTTAAAAGTTCAAAACCACTTAAAACAACTAAGAAACATCTTACAGAATATCCAGATATTAAAAGGTTTGAAGAAGTTTTCAGTTTTGTACAATAATGGAGAATTTGCACGCAATTTTTTTATTGCTTCATCTGAAAGTGCCTAATGAGCTGAGTTCGCAGTATTTTTCATAATTTTTTTCTGACATGGGAAATTGGAGAAAAATTGATTTAAAAGTGAGAAAATGTGCCGCCTTGTGACGTCATCTGGCGGCATTTCCCATTTAAACACATGTATTTTAGCAGAATCGGTTATTTTGTCATATATCCTCTAATAATTGCTCAATTTATGAATCAAGGGTATCTTCGTGTTCAGTTCACTCAGAGGATTCCACTTAAACAGGAAATTCATCAAATTTCAGACCCTTGCAAATTCTCCATTGTTTTGATTTTTTTGTGACAACTAGATTATTAAAATCAGTGCAGTGTGAAAGGGATATAGTCAAATTTTATCCGTAAATTTAGTTAATGACAAGTGCACAGGCAAAAAGATGAAAAGATCTTGGTCATCACTAAAAACACTAAATTGCTTTCAAAACTATAGACGATTAAACTTGTGCTGTTACTTTACACTAATGCTTGGCATACTCATGTTAAAAGGTGGGCAGTTGAATTAAGTATAACATTTTTTAAGATCAACACTAATTCTTGCTTAAAAATAACCCATAGACTCGACGGCACATAACAATTAGAGGAAATTTGTGTCATGAAAGTACTCAATTTTTCTTTTATGATTATAGAATTTTCGCAAACGGAAATTAAGTGATCTCTGTCATGGTCGATGGCTGCTTCTCCACAAATGCAAAAATTCAATGACTGACTGACTAAAGATCAAAATTACTTGCAGCGAACTTTTGGTCATTTTCGTTTTGTTACACGGAGAGAAAAAAATCATGGCTGTAGTGTAGTGAGCTTGATTCGTTGATGTGTTGTGTTTTACGATAGTACTTATAAACTTTAATGCTAGTAGGACCTGTGAAAACACTGAATGATTTTTCATGTGATCTTATTCCATGAAAATTGATGGATAATAAAGCAAATGCATAATTTTGAAGACCATTCACCTCTAAGATTTCTATCAAAGTATGGCTTCAATGCAGCACAGTGGTTTTCGACTTAGTATACGTAATTAATAAAGTTAAGCGGAGATTTGAGAGTGGCATAACACTGAGAGCAAAATATGGCACATTCAGCAAATTATCACCTTAATTTTAAAGGGATGAGAAATCCATCTGGCTCTAAAACCTTTTGTAACAAAGCCTTTGGAACATGGAAGTTGAAATTTTCAATTAAGTATCACGAAAATGTTTACAAGATAAAAAATGTCGTTTCATTGATGTCTTCAGGCACTTACATTCAACAGCCAGTCTAAAGAAGTTGGTGTGCTATAGAGGTGTAAAAAACACTTTGGGCATCTGTTTTGAGCCACCGATATACGTTAACTTAAATAAAATACATTTTAAAATAAAACCCTTGCATGTTTCATTGAGAGTTGTGATAGACAAAATCTTACCCCTTTGATATGAGAATAACGTTGAAAAAATAATCATTCAAGTTCAAGAATACGTTACTATGAAACGATATTGAATCATGAGTCAACAGATCAGGGAAACATTGTTTCAGCTTAATACTGTGCTTATTCAAGAAATAGAAGTTGAGGCTGTGTTTGTAATGAGAACACAGGGCTACGATACGACTTTAGTTCTCACATTAATAAGGTGTTTTAAAATAATTAAAAATTGCCACCTGAAGATACTTTTTTGAAATGTTTAGGGAGTTGTTTGTCAAATCAGATGGAAATCGTTGATGTATAAACATACTCAAGCTTTATAATTTACAGAACTATAATGAATGTTACTGAGAGGAGTAAACCTTGAGAGACGAAGTAAAGCCGGGTTTGGACAGTTTCAACCAGAATCAACCTGACAACATTAAACGTTGCCTGCTTCCTTTTTAAATGAAGAAAAAATATTTAATCAACACAGCAAATGTCTGATGTTACCAATCAACAGTGAAATTCAACTCGCACAGTCAGCGTCCAACACATGAATTGAATCACCATCACACGCAGGCAAATATTTGATTAACCAGACTCCAATTGCATGAATTGAATTTTACTATTATACATAACAGCTTCTGGTGTAGAACTAAGTTCGTGTGTTGAGGAAGTTTTTTTTCTTCGAGAATATTTTCTCTTTGAAACGAAAATCTGAGCAACCTAATACTATACCTTGAAATTTTACAAGCATAATGTTTGTGATCTTCATAGAGTTTGAAGAGAGTTTCAAGGTTTTATGTCTCCTGGTTTTTGCTGATGGAAATAAACAAGAGAGGTGATTGGAAAATGCATTTTGACTGGTCCCGGTTGAAAAATTCTGTTTGATATAGACTTAATTTTTAAGAGAATACATTCAATCATCCTCCTTTGCTCTATTTTCTTTAACTGATTTCTTCCATCTCTTCGAGATCATCGCATCAATGATTTTAACAAAATAGAGAGGGATTGACATTGCTTTTCGAGGGGACTAATCCCTGAAAAAAATACAAAAAATACACCTTAAAATACGCAAATTGATGGCTATTGCTTCAACAGTGATAACTTTTCATTCATACCTCCTTTTTCTTTTTCCGTACTCATTTTTTTTTCCTACTCATCTCAGAGTGCTTCAAAATACGGAAAAAATAAAGTTACAGCAAGAGTTCAGGATTTTTGATTCAAGGTCCATCTTCAGCACTTCAGAGAGCGATTCAACAATTGATCGATCGATTCACAACTTCTGAAATTCAGGACATTAGAATGAGGACTTCCAATTCTGACATCATCTTGCAGTGCTTCAGGTATTGGTGCAGAAGATTTAACAGAGAAGCACTTTAAGATTACGCTGGAAAAACGCTAACGGTAGCTATGTGTATCCGCCTAAGTATCTACTAACCAGGACGTGTAATATGCTTATTCTAAGGCTTACAGATTATTCTTGATGGATAAATGAATGAAAAAACTTTCAGAGTTGCACTAAAATGTTCTTCGTCAAATCTTGCGTACAAATACCTGATGTACAATATGTACATACAAATGTACAATAACAATATGTGAATATTGTAGACTTTGGGAAAAATGTCTTACACTTTAGAAATTAGTCAATCGATCACTAATGAATTGTTCTAGAAAGTGCTACAGCGGTATTTTGAATATCTTTCCTCATTTGAAATTTTGCAAAGAATACAATGGTTCTACTGTTTTGGTCTAAAATCAACGTCCAACCTCTAGAAAACTCTTGATTCCTCACAGAGCTCATTGGACTAGATTTTGCGATGATGGATCTCTATTTCTGGCTCATCTTGGAAACAACATTTGTACCATCAGTTTCTTGGCGTAGATAGGTGTTTTTATGGATGAGTCAGGAATATTCCTCATTGCAAAATGTGATGGAATTTCTTGGTACAGATGTAGCGCACAATACATTATCAGGGTTGCCATTAACACTGATTGAAAATTAACATTTTGAATTTAAAACTTGCCACCAAAAGTGGCGACCCTGTTCCTTGATTTGACCCTATTTCTGTAATTTGTTTGGAATTTTTCTAAGCTTGGAAGTTGATTTTAATTTGAGAAGAAACAAATAAAACGATACTCTTCCCAGCAAAATTGAATGGAGAAAAGGATGGTGAATTCATAACTCCCGAACTCTTGCTGGACCTCTCTACTTTCTTCCATGAAATTAACATAAAACTTTTGATGATTGTTCTTAAAACTAGCCCACCTATAACCACCGTCTGAACTCAGAGAAGCTTCTGGTGCTCGTGTGAAATACTTTGTACCTTAAAAAAGTGCAATTCAAGAGTCTAAAGACTCAACTAAGGGGCCGGCATGCACTTCAACCGCTCGAACGCAGCCTTTTCCAACGCTTCTCGGTGGCTGGGGTGGGCAACATTGATTAAGGCATGAGCTCGCTGGCGTAAAGTTTTTCCAAACAAACTGGCAATTCCATTTTCTGTTACAACGTAGTGGACGTGAGCACGAGAGGTAACGACACCAGCACCTGTAGAAAATTTAGATGGATGGTTAAAAATTGAAACTTCCTGAAATTGGGGATTGAATCTCCTTAACAGTCAAAACATTCCAAAACTAGAATAATTTTAGGTTGAATGAACAACAGAAGATTTGATATCTGTGAGAAGAGCATAGATAGGAAGAAAAAGGGCTCATTGGGGGTGTTCAAACGAATTCTTGCCGGAACACTTTCGATATCGTCTCTTATTGAAACTGGCGCAGTACGGACAGTGGCGATGATATCGACAACAGCCGGCCTTATCGGATTTTTGAGAGCTCGCACTCAATGCATTGTTGCCTCGTGTGTCGGTTTATCAGATTGCCTGGCGCAGCGGCGCGTAAAATAGATGTACAAATGGCAGCAGCTTATTTTTGTCAGCTCCGAAAACTCTGATCGCTATCGGCATGAGTGCTCTTATCGTAACTTTTTCTTATCGGAACTGTTTCGGTAGCTTACCGACAACCGATAGAACAGCCCTAGGCTGCATTGAAACAAAACAACATAAAATTAAAAAAATATTGAGATATTCGGCATCACAATGTCTTAGCGTAAATAACGCTTGTGATACTTTGACAAGAAGGTGACAATTTTTTACTTACAAAATTCCCTATTCTTATCTAGTAGCATACCACTTTATTTGACTGACTAGAAAATGAAAAATATTTGAAGGAAATTTGAAGGAAAACCTTAAAGCATTAATTTAGAGCTATTGATAAATATAAATTGGAGTTTTTACCTGGTTTGAGCATAGGAACGATTTTACTATCACCAGTTTTAGCATTAACAGACTGTAGAGCAATGATTGGCTTTCCTTTGCCATCAAGACCCTCGGCAGCTCCACGGATGAAGTCAACTTGTCCTCCGAAACCTGAGAATTAGAAATAACATTGATCATGAAACAGTAATAAGACTCAACGACACATCGAAATTAGGAAAAGCATAAAAAACTTAGGCTTGAAAGTTGTTCCTTCGTGGATAAAGAAATTATTTATTAGAATTTATGAGAGTATGTCACCTTAAAATTCTATTCATCTTTAGTGAAAAGAAAATAATAGGAAATTAACTTGCATATTACTGACCACATGAACATTTGCGGCAATGAAGCCAGTTTTTTTCATTGAAATGAAAAAAAAAAAAGCATTGAAAGCTCTTCAATTTGTCTTAAATGAACATATCTAAACCCAGAAGTCCCAGGTTTCTCGAGTTTTTTAATGTCAGAACAAATTTTTTGCTTTCATTCTTGTTAAGAGTTTTTCTGATATTCTCTGATACATAGTACCAGTAATGAATCGTAGCTCGTGATAACCCACCGTTTCATGATGTGAACATAAATAACATGTGTAATTAGTTTAGTTTTTAGTTTTAAATCGGTTTTTATCGTGAGACAAGGAGAAACCACGAAGTGATCAGAAGACCTGATGATGGAATACTCGGATGTTGAAATGGCCATCATCATTCAAAAAAGGAAAATAAGTAGGAAATCAGGAAGAAAAGGTAAAAATAAAAAATTTTTGTACAACATGAATCCTGATAAAAACGGTAAAACTTTCAAATTATGAATATCAATATTTTTCAACTTTCAGTTGATTCTTTGGCACACGTTCGAAGTATTAATTCCAAAAGCGTTCCTGATGTTCATGATATCTGGTCAATGAGAGCTTTTCTGTTGTTCTGATGATTTGAAGATTCAAATAATTTATTCAAGAGGTCAATAATGGTGGCTTAGGTGCAATAACATAAACTATAAGCTATAGAAAAAGAAAATCCCAGTTTCCAGTATGTTTTCCCTGAAATTTTTCATACCCTGATGAATCCTGTTTATTCTCAATTCTCTTTGGTCCTAGACACTATGTTTTTCTTCTGAGCAGAGTCCTTTATGTTTTTTTTTTCTTTGACAGTTCATGAAGGTAGTTATCAAGTTAGTTGGATTGTCACTGTGCAGCAATATAACAAGGTAAAAACTGCAGGGACAGAAAAAAGGCACCAAAAAATTGTGTACAAACCAGAGAACATCCTCGTCCCGATGGAATCAGAACAAACTTGACCAGTCAGATCTACTTCTATTGCTGAATTGATGGCTGTCATCTTTGGGTGCTGGGCGATGATTGCCGTTGAGTTGGTGTAATTAACAACTCTCATTTCTGAGAAATTAATCAATAGTAAATAATTAGATAATAATTTATACTACACCTAGACACTCAAGTAAAAGTAACTTTAATTTTTTCTCCCAGTTCTTACGCAGAATAGAGAGTATTTTTTCACCCCTCAGGGTTGGGTAGTTCAGAGTTCAAAACAGCTATTGATAGGACGACTGATTTGGCCAAAAAAAATTCTGAGTGGATTGGGTTTACTGACATTCTTATTCCTGATTGTAAAACTTTTTAGAACCAGCGTTTATTTGTTGAAATTTGTATTTCTAATTTGTTACCGTATTTTACACTACGTTTTGTTAGCAGTGTGGTCTTTCGTGTTGCTTGGTCAGAGCTTACTTTTTGTGCCTCTCACCTAAAAGTTGTTATTCTTTTCATAATTTTGAACAGATTTTTGCTAATGCTATTGATGAAGGGTCTGCAGGAGCCTCAAAATGCATCTATCACCATTTATTTTATTATTATTTTACTTATTTCACCGTCTTTTATTAGGGTAAATTGAGTTTTTTTTACACTAACTTCTTTCTTTCATATCTTAATCCCTCAATGTTTTTTGGTCTCTTTTTTACGGTTTTGACTTGTCATTTTCTTTGATGAGCCAAAAATTACTACATAAGAGTATATTTACTGATACAATACAAGAAACAGAATTTAAAGGAAAGTCAAAGTAAGAGACATTTTTACCTCTATTCAAATGCAATGAAATATTTGATAAAAATCAGCAATTCTACCAGCCACAAGTTGATACATTTTACACTTTCGATAGATAAAGTTACTTAAAAAGAAAATAAGATCTCTAATGTTCATTTAAATTTTTTGACAATAGTATTGGTTACTTTTATTGAGCAATAATATCTGTAAGCCCTTTTCTGGCGCTTTCGTTTTAAGACTACCTTTTTGGGGGGGGGGGACATTCAGGAAAGGAGTAGAACTGAACTTCCGTGTTCGGGAAAAGTGTTGGATCCACATTTGAAAGTTCTCAAATTTCTGCTGGTAAAATGCTTGATTTCCAAAAAAGCTTGTGCATTAATAATTTTTTCTTTTTTTTTAGAAACCAGGACTTGAATGCGAAAAACCTCTGATTTTTAACTTGAAATTTCTTGTAGATAGGTTTATCTGGTGTACTGCCTGAAGAGATAATGACAAAACTTACCAAGGAATGGGTTGTTGTCAACAAAATCGTACAGTTCAGGTGGTCCGATTAAGAAACTGGATACAATTTTCCCTGTGCTCAACGGTTTCTTGTTGTTGGTTATGCAGCCTCTTCGTACTAATTCGATGACTCCACCACTGAACATTTCAGAGTGGATGCCTAAGTCTTTGTGGTCAGTCAAATTGGTGAGAACAGCATCAGGAAGACTGCCAATACCTATAAAAGAATTATAAATTATTGTAACTTACGCTAAATTGTTTATTTTATGATAAATTGATATTCAAGGGCCATTATAGCCATTGATAGGAGCTAAAAAAAGCTCTGGCACATAGTATGATGTTTTAACATTCGAGTTCAATCTTTCATGATATGAAAAGAATTAGAAGAGAAGAGAATACACGATACTCAATAAAATGTACTCTACTAAATCTTTAATCATTATTTAAGGCAATCAACTCTTTATTGGTACATTGGATGAGAAAGGGAAAAGACTTGAATACAATTACTTAAGGGGAAGGATCGCTATTTGAAAGCTATCTTTCAATTTAGTTTCTTCTATAAATCAATCCATTTCTTCGGTCTTGATGTTTACAAGCTATACTAAGCCACTGTATGGACAGACGGACAAGAAAAATTTTGGGACAATGGATGCATTTATACTTTTTTGGGTTCAAGTTTATATTCTGTCTTGATCAGACTTGTCAATGAGATGAGTTTAAAAAAAATACCGTTTTTTCCTTCTTGAATGTGGCTTTCTTTTGAAACAAATACCTCTGTTAAAACTGACTAGAATTACTGATGAAAGCATCAAATAAAGTATTTTTGAAAGCTAAGTATGATCAGTCAAATGAACTGCAAAAAAATCTCCACCATGTTTCTTCTTATGAATCGAAGAACAAAGGACCCCGCACACCTCTTATGGGAAGCTGCACCATGAAGAATTGCCTTCTGACTTATGTATTTTGATTCTCCTCAAGATGCTGATCGAAAGTTATAATTGCGCCGACTTTCTACGATGCACCGTTTTTGCAAAAAACCTATGAGAAGATTCAATTATTCGGTGATAAAAAGCCAGAAAGATTCCTCATTTCAGTGCTCGATTGACAAGCGGCTGTGTGTCAACAAGGAAATCATGGGGACTCCCGCACCGAGTGGCAGTCTTATCTTGGATTCCGCACGCCGTTTTGCTCGACCACCATCCAAATCAGATTCTTGAGGAGCATAAGAACAGGAAAGTCTGAACGTTTACCGGGCGAGTGCGGGAGGGAGATAGCCCCTGAGTCGGCAGGTACAGATAAGAAGACGGACACATGCTACGTTTTTTCCTTATTCACATCGGGCCTTTTCTCAGATGCTTTGTTCTTTTTTATTCATAGTCGCCGAATAATTGAATCTTCTCATAGGTTTTTCGCGAAAACGGTGCATCGTAGAAAGTTGGCGCAATTATAACTTTTGATCAGCATCTTGAGGAGAATCGAAATACATAAGTCAGAAGGCAATTCTTCATGGTGCAGCTTCCCATAAGAGGTGTGCGGGGTCCTTTAAGAATAATTTTACTCATACCTCCATTAAAGAGGTCAGTAGATAGAATAGGAAGAAAAATAAAATATATTAAGAGCAAATTATGACATTCCTAATCCTTCTCAACCTATAATCAGCGAAATTATCCTTGGCCTTAGAATTTCTATTATTATGGAGATTAGTATAAAAATTAGTAATTAGTATTACGGAGTTGAGTTTCTAAAATTTTTGAGAATACATATCATCTTTTTTTTCCGATGTAAAATTGAGTATGAATTAAAAATCTGGTGGTGATTGGCGTTACTAATATAGACAAGCAACAGTTTCATTCTGATCAATCTCAGACATAGTACTTCAAGCTTTGTTTAATTAGTGATACATAATGGCACCAAATAACTCAGTGCTTTTGATGCAAGTGAAGTAAAAATACAATTGAGAACAAAAAGGACCAAAGTTAGACTCACCCATTTGAAGGGTGGCACCGTCATCGATCAAATTTGAAGCGATGAGCTGTCCGATTTTCTTCTCGTTTTCATGAGGTGCTCCACCTCCGTGCGCTGGTAATGGTCTGTTGATGGGAACAACATAATCGAAATGAGACTGGTGTACCAATGCATCCCCAAACGTTCTTGGCATATGTTCATTCACATGACCTAGGAAAAACCAAAATAGGAATGTAAAACTCGAAATTAAGATAAGGGGCAAAGAAAACACTTTTTTAAAGTTATAACGAGACTTTAGGGTTTCAACGTCAAAAAGAATTAAAAAGCTGATAAGATGCTATGATTAAAATTTACCTAAAAAATCCGATAAGATGTTCTGATTAAGATTGACCTAACTTTTGTGAAAACGGATAAAAATAGGCATTACAAGTGATTGGATTGTAAGCTATATAATTGTTTAGCGACAATGTAATTTATGTTAATTGTATTTTCAACGTCGAATTTAAGTGACTGTTACAATCAATTTGATTTTTTAAATCAAATTCTTAAAGAACAAATACTTTCAAGGTGTTAGGTTGCTTTAATCACACATCATAAGCGCAGGGGTGCAAATTTCTTACAATCCATTAATCCGTGAATTGTCAGTGGTTGATGCAGGCTACCGAGGTGCAATATGGGCAAAAGGCAGTGCAAAGGTTCTTAATTACGATGTAAATTTTATTACTAGCCTTTTAAATCTACTAAAATGAAATAAACATCTTCTTTCTCAAACCTAGGGCTTCTGTCTTGGAGAGTGCATTCTACCATGTTGACGACCTCTCAAATCTTTAGCCTTTATCCATCGCTTCTTAGTTATTTCCTATTTTGCTCTTAATAATTTTCTTATTTTGCTCTGTCATTTTCTTATTTTGTTCTTACATTGCCTAATTCAAATAATTTGTACGATCTGTATCTGATTCATTTGTACGACTTGTACGATCCCTTAAAGGGAGTATATGAGGCCTTATATGTGACAATGGCGGATGTGAAAAATTACCTTTTAGAAACACGCTTCAAAAACTGTTTTGTTCACACAAAAATTTAATATGTTTGGCTCTGGCATAATGTACAGATCACGAAGATCACATCTCAAGCACTTTCTCAAAATTTTCTCGATGCCAAAACAGTTTTTTTAATGCGTTTCGAAAAGGTAATTTTTCACATCCGCTATTGTTACAGACAAGTCCTCATATGTGCCGACTGTAAAATAAATAAATAAATAAACGTCACCATTCAGTAGATTAAGTTCACAATAGACAAATTTTTTTGAGAGTACTTTATGAGTTTCCATGTGGGCTTAGAGAATAGACATGAATCGTTGGTAGCAGTTTAGGCTGAAGAGGAATTTGCACCCTTGGATATGTAACTCATTATTCCAGTACACAAAGTACGATTCCTTCACTGTCAAGGTGATGTTATGACCAAAAGGAGTATATTCCACCTATGCCGACATTAAGAACATCACATCCACATTCACTTAAAATTGCATTACAACATTACCAAGTTACACAGAGAACGTGCAAACATATTGTTAGTGAAACTAAAAAAACTTTTTTTCAATTGCAAAGTTTCAAACCTCTGCTCTTCCTTTTTTTTCACGAAAATGTTAAAGAGTCTACGCCAAGTAAATTTAAGCATTTTTAGAGTTAGACAGAGGGATTTACTACCTAGATTCTTGCATTTACTTTCCATGCTGAACTGAAAACAGGTGGAATGGTATTCTGTCACACTTTAAAAGTGCGCAAACTTACTTGCCGTTGACTCTACTGAACATTTTCTGAAATCATTTTCAGAGAAAAGTCTTGAAAAGACACCAGAAGTTGACACACAGTTTGATGCAATAATAATAATTGATCCAGGGTTTCTATAATTTCTTCATTTTCTCATTTCCTTTTACTTTTCTAGACTCCAAAATTTCCAAATTTCTTGCATTTTGATAAATAATCAAAGAGAAAAAAAAGTTTACCTATAACTATTTCGGAGTTGGCGATGGCTGCTCGCACACAGTCAACACTGGTTCCCAAACTGCAGAATCCATGTTCATCAGGGGGTGATACCTGAAATTTAATAATGTTTCATTATTTTTACTTTCTCGCTCCCATAGGGTAGAGAGGAAGTATTGTCATCCTCCAAAAAAAAAAAAAAAAAAAAAAAAAAAAAAAAAAAAAAAAAAAAAAAAAAAAAAAAAAAAAAAAAAAAAAA